ACGGCACTATTACTTCCCTTTGCTTTACCCCATTCAGTATCTCGATTCGCTACAATTATGAATAATACACGCAGCGCCTTCGCTCCAAAAACAGTCAGCTTCGCATGTAGGGGCGATCATATCACTGGTCATCTCTATCTACCGGAAGACTATGACCTCAACCAGCGCTATCCAGCCGTAGCGGTAGGCGGTTCGATGGCCAGCGTGAAAGAGATGATGGCAGGAACGTACGCACGCGAATTGTCACGGCGTGGCGTGATAGGTCTGGCAATTGATTACCGCAATTATGGCCAGAGTGGTGGTGTTTTTCGACAGCGCGAAGATCCTGAGTCGAAAGCCGCAGACCTCTCCGCTGCTGTGGAATATTTATCACATCGCTCCGACGTAGGAGAAACCGGTCTTCTTGGGATATGCACTTCTGGTGGAAATGTCTTATACCCGGCGTCGAGCGATCCTCGCGTTAAAGCAATAGCGACGGTTGTTGGGTTCTTCCAATCTGCCTCTATTGCACCTCTTTTACATGGTGGGGAGGAAAGCATCCAGCATCGACGCGCCCAAGGCCAGGAAGCGATCAAGCTATACGACGAAACGCATGAAATCAAACTTATCAAAGCCTACGGAGGCTCTGCAAATGAGTCAGCCAGCCCTGGTTCAAAGCCATACTACGAGGATCCAACACGCGGCAACGTCCGCCAGTGGCGCAACGAGTTTGCTGTGGCGTCATGGGGTGCCTGGATCGATTGGGACCCGGTAGCGCAAGCCTCACATGTTCAGGCGCCTACGCTCATTGTGCATTCGGAGAAGGCCGCTTGCCCTGAGCAAGCACGCGCAGTGTACGATAACTTGAGATCAAAGAAGCATATAGTGTGGGCGGAAGGATCGCATTATGACTTCTACGACGATGCAGAGACGGTGCGCCGCACAGCTGATGAGCTAACCAAGCACTTCCATACCTACCTCCGCTAAGACTCGTACATAGTATTTTACATCTGCATTCACTTGGGAAGGGTCAGGATAAAACAGCCATTCTGTGTTCCGTATCTGACAACGATTTGCGTGTTTTTGACAGTTTGGCTCTCCTCAGACTGTAACTAACTTTACCTCACGACTTCAAATTACAATTAAGTTCCCAGACTACGCTGCTACCTCTATTTGGGTCCATGGAAGGATGCCACCATAGCCGGCAGACATCATGGACGCAAAGCGAGCTTCCGAGAACATCCCCGAAAGAGGGGTTGCTCAAGCGCCAGACTGGCTGCATCCGTTTCAGCATGAAGTGGAGGTAACGTCCGTCACATAGGGACGGACGTTCAATGCAAATAAGGGCGCTGATTCGGGACGTCAAGGAATACAATGCACATTAAAAAAAAGAAAAAAAAAATCCCTCCCTGCATGTAGGATCTCCCACCGCACAGAACCACGAAGATCTCCAAGCGACAATGCAAACATTTCGCCATCCTCTTATGTTCCAGTCAGTCTGTCAATGTTTTTATAAAGCATCGGAATTCGCCCAGAAGATTAAGAAGCAACATCATAGTTGTCTTGGTCATCATTCCAGGCAAACTGGCGTCATTTGTCCTCTTTGAAATCTAATCCCCACGCTAGCCTTAAGTCGACTAGCACCAAATATATTGTAATGGTCTATCCACGTTGAGTTCAGGTGTGTGTGAAGGAGGGCTGGATTTAAGTTGTGTATATTGCTGAAGTTAACGTTCCATTCACACCGTCGTCTCTTGCGCAGTACCAGGCTTCACCAGGCTTTTCCAGGCTTCTAAAGCCGCCACTACTGCAGCGTGCTACAAGCAACAAAAGAAACTCCGCCCTTGATGAAGGAATCGGAACTGAACGCCAACCGACGACCACGTCAGAAGGTGATGATCAACGCGGGGCGCTGATCACGTGATGTGGCATCTCGCCAAGACAAGACATCTCGAGATGCCAGGTTCTCACCAGATGTCAAGACGTCTGAGATGCCAGTGGCATCAGAGAGGTCACGGGCCTCGTCGGAGGACAAGAACAGATTGCAATGGGTATAAAGGATGGACGGCTTTCATTATTACCCTCGTTGTGGTCAACTCAAATAGTTCATCTCTTACATAGATTGCTAACTAGTTATTCTATCGTGTATAGAATTGGTATTGTTTATCCTTTGGTTAACAACGATAATTCTTTTCCACTTGATCATTCCATACATTACCTCACGGACTACCGCTTTGGTCTACCGAGCCTTAGTACGGATCAAGCCTAG